CCCCTTGTCATTACATACATGTGCAGTACATATATTTCTGATAAACTATCTTTCACTGTGCTAAGAGGGAAATCTAAAATACTTGTTATTAAAAAAAAGAGGGTAGTATAAGAGCAATGAGGATCATGTTCTCTTCTATGGGAGGTACTCAGTGAATGACGAGACAGAAAATCACAGGCCCTCTGCATTAAGCTCTGTACCATTTCACTTAGTGACTACCATGTACAGCAAATACCATGATGGTCAGGAAGATTTAAATCCTCTAACTACCTACATTACTGCAAGGGAGCAGGGTGAGGAGTCCCAGAGTCAGGAGATCAGGTTTCTAGTTTCTACTCTGCCAATTAACTACCAGTGTGACCTTTAGCAGCTCATGTGATCTCTGTGGGCCCCCATATACTCAACTACACAGTGAATGCATAGAAATAAATTACATTTAAGGTCCTTTCCAACTCTGTAAGAAAATACATAATTTCTGAAGATTTCACTGACCAGAAGAAACTGACTCCTTTAATAAATGCATACACTATATATCTTGTGGGTCTCAATTATATTTCCAATTACACCTTTATTTTAAAGCTATCAGTCCAGTAAGTTTTTTTTTCAAAGTCATGCCTGAGAAAGACAAAAATATTTTCTCAAAAATGAAGACCCCCTACACTTGAAGTAGTGAGATATACTGTAAGGGCACAGTCGCATTCTGAAGGGGACAGCTACTTTCCTATTAGCGTTCTGCTCACTGATATAAACCTGATAAGTGAAACTTATCTTATTTTTACTTTAAATTCTTGAAATAAAAATTATCTTATCTTTTCCAGTCATAAACGTTTTGGCAGCTTTAGCCTTCTCCATGAGGTTTCCTAAATTACTAACCTCATATGTTATTATAAGTTACTTGTAATCCACAGAATAACAATTCCACAGAAATAGCAATAATCCACCAAAATAACAATTCAACAAAATCTATGTGCAACTAAACACTGAGTGTAAACGAGGTGTTTAACAGCAAGTGCTATGTATGGTGTGAATCAACTTCTTGTTCAACTAACTGTTTCACCCACAACCAATTTTGCCCTGGAGCTTCTGAAAAACACAATAGAAATCTGTAAATTGGCAGTCTTACTGAACTTCAACTATTTTATCTAACCAGGTCTATGGTAACAAAAGATACTTGAGAGCTCCTCTTTGTTGAAATGTGCTTTGATTTGGAGCATAGATACAGAGATCAAATGGACCAAATCCCTTGTTCTGATGGCATCTTGCTGCTGCTTATTTTGGAAAGCATCTATAGAAGGCTTAAGAATGTCACCTTAATACATGCACATGTGTATACTTTAAGAAAACTTCACACTTAAAATTCAGTTTAGTAAGATTTATACATTAGTATATTGCTATTTGTTTTTCCAAAGCACACCATTATCATTTTTTAAAAACATATTAATCACCTCTGTTACATGTAAAGTGAAACTGAATTTTTCAAATTTCAAATTTTTCAAATTTCCCCTCTTCAGAACATGTCTTTCTTATTACATATTCACTAAGTAGGCATAAAATCAAGTCTCTGTTATCTTTCTGTGAATTCTATACAACCTACTGCAAAGTTGTCATAACAGGTTTACTTATTTCTGTCACCCAGCTGGTTTCTGGGCAGGTGGCCCATCTGCACCACCTTCCATAAATTGGCTTTGGTGTTTGAGGTGTGTAAGCTCATTTAAAAATTAACCAGAGCAAAACAAAATAATTAGAAAGGCAACTTGCCTACAATAACAATGATAATCTTTTTTTAAACCAAACATGTAATACATTCTAAAGACAAACACAAATGTCTTTTTAAATAACTGTGATTTTGGATTGTCTTTGCCTCTATTCCTCTCATTAACATGAATAATTCAGAGTGCTTACTATACATGATAAAACTGTTTCCCCTCAATAATTCATTTTTAGTATCCAGAAAAATGTATGTATTTCCAAAGGTTTAAATTAGACCATATTTTTTAAAGGCAACTTACTTTCAAAATTATCTACATTTTCGTCGATGCTATCCTGAGATTAAGGAGAATCTGAAGCCTTCAAGTAAAAGCAGGGTAGAACAGTGCAACAGGTAAGAAGGCAAAAGCCCTACCTTTCTTTGGTTCATGCTATTCTTCAGGTACATATCAATTCTTTGCAAAGTGTGGGCAAGATTGCCACTATGTTTTTCCTTAAAAATATGAGTAGTTTGAGACTCTGTACCTAGATTTAGGTATGAAGAATTTCCCTAACATTCCAGAATACTGAAAATACAATATTTTTATAATGCAACTAAAAAATGCAACATTGAATGATAAAAATATCCTAACATTGAAGCTTTAGCTATGGTTTCCCTAGTTGGGAAGCCATTTTGGATGGGGGAGACTCAAAATCTTTCTTTGGTGATGACATGAACAAAATGAAAGGTGTGAATGTAATGTTATGATTACATATAAACTTATCCAGATTCCCAAACACAAATATAAAAAAATGCCAGAGACACTTTATTCATATCCTATATAACCTATAATATTCATACCCAATATTTACATGAGAAACCATGTGTACATCTTAGGTCTACTTAATATATGATTGGAAATATTAGTCTCCCATTTTATACATTATTCCTGGGAAAGAAGTTACATTCTTCTAGCAACCACACTCATTTTCTAGAGTCATAGGGCAGTTTGATGCACTGCTTTAGAGCACCAAATGCTACCCCTGTGACCAGGAAGAAAGGGAAAGAATGTAATCAGAAGGAGCCTGCAGCTGTACTAATTCTCAGCTTCTCTCCAGTAACAAAAGGTGGGAGAAAAAAAAAAAGGTAATCAGATTTCACTGGTGTACACATCAGCCTTGACCAAAGGCTTGAAAACTTTTTTGATTTCTTGTTTCATTAAAAATAAAATGAGAGCTTATTGATGCGATAAGTCAAACACCACAGTTGTCAATATTGGGTCCACATGAGATAACACAACTATTTGTGGACTGTTCATAAAAATGGGTAAAGTGAGGTCTAAATTTTGATACCTGTGAAAATAAAGCATGTGCTTTAAGTGAGTGGAAGAGAACAGATGGTTGGTAATGATTTAAAACATTTATGTTTTTGGACTGTCACCAAGCCTCTGTATTAGAAAATATGGTGTTTAGTCACTACATACCAACATCTATCTGCAAGGTGCTCATTTTCTGAAGGATGCTACTATAATAAAGGAGATAAAACCCAAATGAGGCAAGAAGAAAATTCTTCTCATTTTCCCAAGGCATTCTATGTATGCTATTTTTTTTTTTTTTTTTTTTTTTTGTGGGACCCTCGCCGGCAGCCGGGGAACGAACCGGCGCTGCAGAGGCAGCGGGCAGCCTCACAGCCCAGCGCTCAACCGCTGCGCCACCAGGGGAGGCCCTATGTATGCTATTTTTTATTGACTATATTCAATCAAAATGCTTTCTATGTGATGAGAGCATTTTAATTTTTCCTCAATATCTGGGAAATTGTGCCCAAGTATTATATTCTTTTTGGACACATTGAGTAAAATTGTAATTTTGTTCTGTACATTTGGTTCATGTTGACTACTTCCTTCGAAACCCTTTAAGCCATAATAAAGCTGGTGGTCCAGGGAGTTCTGGCCCATGAAAAATAGTAACATTCTCCTTATCCTCAATTTCATAGACAGGCATATGGTGTTCATTATGTACTAGAATTGGCAGGTGCCAAGCCACTAAATCAGAAAGTCAGATAAATATTAAATATCATCACACTGTATGTTGATGTGTTTATGCGAGTCTAAATGAAGCCCACCGCCTTTAAATCCAGCGGAATAGTGACAGTGCAGATAAAATGATATGGGGAGAAATTAATGCAATGCTTAGGGTTAAGAAAAATAAACACTGGTAAATAATAATCTTAATTATTAGAAAATGCTGAAGTAGAGAGTCCTTTTAAACATCCTCGGTGTTTTGATTAGGCTCTGATGACATAATGAGAAAAAAGTCACATAAACACACACTCTATATTATTTACTTGCCTTCCCTCCCCAGGCCCTGGGAACTATTGAGGAACAGTTTGCTTGTGGGAGGGAGTTGGCGATAGACTTGCAGGGAGAGGAGGGAGGAGGAGCGGCAGCTCCAGCTTCACACCTGTGAACTTAGTTGGAAATAACTCCTGACAGGCATCAAACAGAACACCTTTTAGCCTTCTAAGAGAAACAGGGAGATAGGCAGGAATTTCAAAAGGGAGGAAAGAGGTTGCAAAACGTAACCGCGAAAGTAACAGCAGCAGCAGCAACAAAACAAGCACGCAATTAGACTCGCCCCTACCCCTACCCAGCTTAAGGGCCCTCTGCACATGGCCCCTGCGAACCCCTTGGCTGGGGCTGCACTGGACACCATGTCCGGAGTCTTCTAAGCCCCCTCCCTGGTTGCCTGCACCCTCAGAGGTCTCTGAGTTTGCGGCCGAAGCAAAAGGGACATCAAAACACAGATGCTTGTCTTTCTGCCAAGCATCCCGGAGGACCGGATAAACCGGCACGAGAAACTCAAGATGTGCCTTCTGGTGTCTTCTTTCCAACGTGCGCGTGCCCCCAGTGGGGGCTGGCACCGGAATGCGGCAGTCCAGGGTGCCCGCCAGGGCCAGGCACCCAGCGCAAGTAACCTAGCAAGTTGCAGGCATCCGTGCCCTCGCAAAGTCCTCGTATCCCCTGAGTCTCCCGGGTCCTCCACCCGCAGCCCACAGCTCGTCCAATAAAACCAACCCGGGTGGCTCCAAATATGGGGGTGCGGTTAACGAAGCAGGGAAGGGGAAAAGAAAGCCGCCTCCTGCAGTCAAAGGAGGTGAAGTACCTGAAAAGGTGAGGATGCACTTCCCCGCCCACCCAGGTCCCACAGTTCCAACTGTGGGCGCAAGTGGCGCCCCGAAATCTTGCCCCTCCTACCTAGGACCCTCCCCCCCCCAGCCTCCTCCTCCCCTCCAGGCCCCACTCCAGGGCTGTTACCTCGCGAGCGGCGAGGGGAGCGGAGGCGAGCGGGCGCCGGCAGGTACCGCTTTTCCAGGAGCGGAGCTTCAGCTAGAAACTTCCCCGCGCTCCGGGCAAACTCTCGGGGACTCCTCCCCGCCGCGGGCTGCGGCTCGAAGGCGCCGGGCGCCGCGCTGGGGCCGGGGCAGCGCGAGTCCCGCGTGCGCTCTCGCCCGTCCCGCGCTGCTGGGGCTGCGGCGCCACCTCGGCTCCCGCCCGCTCCCGCCGCCGCGCCGCGCCCCGCCCGCCCGCCCGGCAGCTCCGCCTCCCGCTTCCCAGCTCCCTGGCCGCGCGCCCGCCCGCCCGCCGCGCTGCCTTCGCGTTCTCAGCCTTTGCGGTTCTCTCCGTCTTACTTTCTAGACGCGACTTCTTACCTGGGCGGGCGACACGCCCTCCCGCCCCCTCTCAACCCCCCCCCCCCAAACTCGCCCCCCCTTCCATCCCTACCCGTCGAGTAGGGGGAAGGTTCCATGGCCCAAAAACCGCCCCACTCCGAGTCCAGGAAATAATTATCTTTGCTGTTCCTTTCCTAATTCACCTTCCTGTCTTGGCCTCTGCGCTGTCTCTGATTGCTTCCAGGTGTTCTAGAAACACCTGAAGGACAGTTGGTAGGTTAGTAGGTTATCAGCTGGCCCTTGAGTCCAAACATTTAAGTTTCTTATGCGTTGCAGAACTATTCATTTAGATACATAAATGGATTGTGTACATGTATAATTACAATATTTGAGACCGCGAAGGCTTTTCAGTATCCCCATTTCAAAATGCTGCAAGCTTAGTTGGAAGTTTGAAAGGGTTTTACAAAAATCAGATTAGTATAGATTTTTTTTTTTTTTAGCATTAAAGGAAATGGATCGTTGAGATTTAAAAATTAGTTCCAAACACGCTAGCAACAATTTGGCCAAAGTAGGGCAAATAAAATTAACATAAACCTTGATTGCTTACTTTGCATTCAAGCAGTTTCTATGAATTACCAAGCAAAACCATTTTTTTAAATTAGTAAGAGCTTAAACAGACCTCATTGCTACATTAGAATTTCTTTTTTCCTTTTTCAAACTGCCATATTGTCACTTTCTGCATTTTCAGTAAGTCTTATTCTTGTTTCAGTGGATTAGGAGTAACATATCTAGGGGTGGTGGTGGTGGTGAAATTTGGTTCTGTGAAGAAATGCTATTGTAGGTCTTACCTGCCTGAATATAGCTTCTTTGAAACACAGCCTGCTTTATTTTCCAGTTATGAGTTTATTTTAATTTGCATGTCTGCTGACTTGTTATTAACACTTACAGTGTTATTATAGATAATGTTTGGCCTCCTTGCAGGAAGGTCCTATTCATCACTACAATGAACCTCCCCTTGCAGCTGGACTCAAAGAAACAAGGTGTGTCCTGGGCTGTATTTAACTGGTAGGCAACTGATGAGTGCGTGTTGAATGAATTAACCAATTCAACGTAGTCCCTATCCCTTTGTTCCATGAGTATCATTCCATGTTCTAGGAGCTCTCGCAGTTGTGGCCATCCACCACAACAAATCAGCAAAGAAATCCCAGTGGGCTCAGGAGACCTGGATCCAACTTCTTGGCTCCAATTCAGACCATTTTTGTGGCCTGTGCCTTCTCCTTAGTAAAAGGGTCAAGCAAGAATCTCATTATCACTCTATTAATATTAAATTCTTAAAGTGTTTGTAGCTAATAGGGGGAAACTGGGCATGGTCAGATCAACTTCTGATTAAATTTTCTTGATTGATGTGCTGCTAGGCATTGCCAGTCCACTGTGAGATTTCCCAGTCTCTAGAGTCTATTTCATCTCTCTATCACAGCAAATCAAATACTTAGAACTGTGAACTGCCTTCTATTCCTAAATCTCCATCCAAAGCTACTAAAAATATTTTTAATGATTGAGGAAATTGAATTTTGTTAAAATCCATGATCAATAAATGAAGGATCAAAGAACCATCTAAAAAAATGCATACATAGCATCAGCATAAGATGCAGCCTCTCATGATATTTGATTGGGAGTTATGTGGTTAAGTGAAAATAGCACCTTTTTGTGGTTAAACCAATTTAATTTTTCAAAAGTGAATTATTTCTAAAACATTGGTTCACAGCATGTTTTAAAACTCTCCAGTCTATTAACTTTGTTTCTTTAAATTTCTAAAAATGTTTAACTATTATCTGTTTCTAGGCAAATATGAAGTTATGGATCATTGATCTCTCAATGTATAAGTTAGTAACAATTATAGTCATAAAAGAAGTTTCTGCATCGATTTCAAGGTACATTCAGTGGCAAGAGTACCTTTGTAGAAAGAGAAGTTCATCATTCTCAGGTTTATTTGCAAAGCACACACAGTGTAATACCATTGGAATAAACATAAGAAAGTCAGTCAAAAGTTGATTTTAAATGTAACTAACAGTGTAAAGAATGAACCCAATGAGCTGGTTGTGTTTTATGAAAGCTGTGTGTGAAGACAATGGGGATAGATGTATAGGGAAAAAGTAGGAAGGATATCTTTCTTGTGTCTCTTACAGACCAAAACACACACACAAAACTACTTAAAGCTTTTATGGGATAGCTCTTCCTAATTTTAATTTTATACATTAACTGTGCCATTCTCAAAGATGACTTGGCTTAATAATGACTAAAATAATAATGCAGTAGAAATGTATTAAGCACAATGTACAAAGGCACGTGGGGGTTACAAATATCTCTAAATCAACTTTTTTGTTCATGGAGCATATAAATATATTTACCTAGAAAGAGAGTTTTACATGAGTCAGTAGAGGATCATCCAGTGGTTATAGGAAAATACCCTTGCTCTTGTTCTGTAGTAATTTCTCTTGCTCTTGTAGAGCAGGAGTAAAACAAGACAAGGAAAAAAACAATATGATTTATGTTGACTCACAACTAAGGGAACATGAGCTATCCTGTTGAACTAGAAGGAGAATGTAAAATAAATCTTGTACTAAACGATAGAAATTACTATATGCAGAATTTTTTTTCCCCCTGTGGGGAAAGTAAAAAAATAAACAACTCTGAAAGTAAAAGAAGCCTAAAATGGATTAAAAAAAGCTTAATCTAGGGGCCTCCCTGGTGGTGAAAGGGGTTAAGTCTCAGCACTATGAAGCTATTGGCAGCCGCTGCAGCACAAATTTGATTCCTGAGCAAGGAACTAACCCAAATGGCACAGCAGACCTCTTCTGTATCTCCTGCTGCTCCCCTCAGCAGTATATTTCAGTCAATCTGTCTGTTCTGTCCCTACTCTGTCTCTGGTGAATCCTCTCATCACGCCACACCTCTGCCTATACTCCAGCTCTTGTATGCAAACATAAGTGAATTTTTTTTTTTTTTAAAGCTTAATCTAGTGAGATGAAATGGACAGAGTACTGGAGAACTGGATTTGACTCCATGAAATTGGGTAAGTCTCCTTTCCCTGCATCAATTTATTATTTGTTGGGTATAGGCCACTGAACTCATGGTTCCTTCCAACATCAAACCTTCATGATATCTAGTCAAGATCACTTATTTTGATCAAGTTATTCAGATGCTTATTCAACTTCACATGCCAATTAATCTACAAAGTGACTTGTGAAGTGAATTCTAATCAGAAAGTTTTCCTTCAACAGAAGAAATTTTAAAAAATGAGAGCACAATATAGGAATCGTGATTTTTTTTAAATTTTTATTTATTTATTTATACAAGCACTGGGTGCAGTCAGAAGCGCGGGAGGGCGAGAGAATTCACCAGAGCCAGAGCGGGGAGCAGAGCAGGCAGAAGGACCGAAGTACACTGCTGAGGGGAGCAGCGGGCGGCAGGAGAGGTCTGCGCGCCATGTGGGACCCTCCTCCAGTGGTCGGGGAGCAGCCGGGGATTGAACTGGCACTGCAGAGGCTGCAGGCAGCTTCGCAACCCAGCGCTCAACCTCTGCTCCACCGAGGAGGCCCATCTTTAACATTTTTTTTTTTTTTTAGGCAAGAGAGTGTTTAAAAATTAAGAAAACTATCAAGGATTCAAACTATATATATATATATATATATATATATATATACTGAAATTAAATATTCTAAGCAGCATTGAAAAAGGGGGACATGCATATATATATATATATATATATATATATACTGAAATTAAATATTCTAAGCAGCATTGAAAAAGGGGGACATGCACTATGGAGGAAGCATAAGGATTAATGATAATTGAGGAAGAACTATTTCCCATGAAAAACTGAAATCTCCAAATTATATGAAAAATAATATGGGTCAAACAGAAAAACTAAAAGATAATTATAAATAAATAAAAATAAAATGATGCATTGCCATATTATTTTGTATCTACTGCCTGAAAACAGTCATGATTCAAGGTCAAATAAATTAGAATAGTCAGCACCAAATAATCTTGGTAAATAGAACAAGTCAATAAATATTTATTGATTAGTTGATTGAATAAGAACTGCTTGCAGTTATTTCAGGAAAATCAAAGTCACTGGTAAAGTTATGTATGTAATTTCTTAAACTAAGCAAGTATGAATTTCATAGAAAAATAATGAAAAGCCAAAGTTTCCTATAGTACCTCTTAAGTACTAAGCAATGAAATTTTACAAGATAAAAATTTAATAAGATAATGTTTATATAGGGAAAGACTAAATTGGAAATATATAAAATAGGGAAATATAAATATGCCTCTGTATATATCATGCATCTTTGATAGGCGATTAGAAGAGGAAAATTCTATGCAAATAATTTATAAAAAATAAGCAATACTTTCTGCTAAGCCAATATTTGAACACATACATTTTAATTTCCTGAGTGGGTTCAGTTTTTGATGTGGGCAGTCAAGATATTGAAAGATGATTTCAAAAGCCTAAGTCAAAATAAAAGTTAATTTGCAATGTTCTGAATTGGTGAGGGGTTTTTGTACTGTAGTTTCAATAATTCTGTGCCTTTCTTGACAAATGTTTTTCTAATAATTCATCAAGGATGTTTGTCTACTCAAAGTGGCCCTCTCTGTTGGTGCTTGGATAAAAAAATTAATAAGATGTGGACCCTTTTAACAAGGTGATGACTAATGATTCAAATCACATATTGTTAAATTTAGAAATGCTAAACTTACAGGAAAATTATTTG